GAGCATGCCAACATCTCCATCAACGTGACCGCGAGCATGCTGGCCGGCAACTTCTGGAGCAGCGACGAGTTCTACAACCACACGGGCGTTGATCTCATTCTCACACTGTACGCAACTCTGAGCATCTGACAGTTACTGTTGTATTCTCTTCCTCCACAGCGCCGCTGACACAATCTCACCACAGGGAAAGCTGGGCGTGGAGTCCAGCCATGAACGCCTTGCTCCATGATCAAGTCGTGCACCGTCGTTCAACTTGGCAAGACAAGTACGACAGCGATGACCTCCGGACCCTTTCAGAGATCTATGACCAGGCCAACGCGACGCACACTCGCCAGCGGAGGGTCTCAGTTGTCAGGAGCGCGTACGACCGCCTGGACCACGGCACGAACATTCTCGACACATTCTCAGGGACCACCTACCTGCCGACGGCCTGAGGGAGCAACGCGACTGACCTCAACCTCTGTGTCTTGTCCCCCCCTTTGTCTTATTGAAAAAGAAAACCCCAGTTTAATTGGCCATTTTCTGCTTCGCACGGTGAACGGCCCGACCGAGCAAGCCTTTGGGGTCGCCCACGTCTTGTTCGCGGCGGCGTCGGCATCTGCCGGGTAGCGCTCTTTGGTGGTGGATTCACCTCGAACGGGCCGCGTCGACCTTTATGATGCCTCGACCGGCCGGTGGAGCAACTCGGTCCGACGCAAATGTGCTAACTAATGATGACATGGCTTGGCGTCTTTTTCCTCCTCTTCTTCCTCATCATCGGGCGGCGTTCCCTACGTCCAGAGCGAGAGACGCCGGAGCGGCAGCTGGATCCGCCCGCGGAGCCTCAAGTTCAAGAAGGCCAGCGGCGTCAGCAAAGGGAAGGGCGACTCGATCGAGTTGCATTTTCGAAACACAATATTCCTGCTATTTCCTTTGCCCTCCGCGACCCAAGGAAAACACGTGAGATTTATTGTCCGAAGCTACTAAAGGAAAACACATTTCCTATCTTTTCCTTGGCGACCTGCGACCTGCGACCAGCGAATGCGACTTCGAGTTCGCCCAGCGACCAAAAAGAAAACAAATTCCATTTCTTTTCCTTTTGCGACCTGCGACCTGCGACCTGCGACCTGCGACCTGTCTTGGCAACCTGCGACTGTCAGGAAAACTGGTTGCGCCTGTAGGGCTGTCTTCGGTGGGCATGCCAGAGAGTCCACCAGGTCAAGCTCAATGAGCAAGAAAGGAGGCTCAGTGCAACACAAACTTTGGCTCAACACAAACTTGGGCCGACACAAGTGCACTAAGTATGCCGAGCTGCTGGCAGCATTGCTGCGCGGCATACTCAACGCAACACACACGGCGCGACCTCGAGTTGTCAAGGAGGAGGGCAAGTTGAGTCGGCCAGACAACCAGGCGAGTCAAGCTTGCGTCAGACAAGTTTGAGTTGGATGGCGGACAAAGGTACTATTTTCGTAACGGTTGTAGGCATCAATATTGTTACACTTCTATCTTGTCGAGGGCGGAGTTGAGGTAGGCCATGATCTCGTCCATCGAGGGGCGCTTTCGGGGGGAGGCGTCCCAGCACCGCTGCATCAGCTGGGCGAACTGCTTGTCGGTATCGGGAGGGATGGGGGGCCGTTGGCCCTGGATGACGTCCACCGCCACGCAGACTGCGTTCTTTTCGTGGTAGGGCGCGCGCCTGGTGAGCACTTCCCACATGACGATACCGAACGAGTACACGTCGACCGACTCGTCGTACTTGGCCCCTCCGGGCGGCGGAGACAAGATCTCCGGCGCCGTCCAGGAGGGCGTGCCGCAGCGGGTCATGGTGGCGTTGTCCTGCTCGGCCGTGGCGAACCCGAAGTCGCCCACCTTGACGCCCCAGTTCTCGTCGACGAGCAGGTTGTGGGACTTGAGGTCGCGGTGGATCACCCCGAGGGAGTGGAGGTAGTTGATTCCCAGAGCGGCGTCCCGGAGCATAGACAGGCGCTTCGGCCAGGACAGCTTGAGGGATCTGTCGGCGAGGACGTAGTGCAAGCTTCCCCTCTCCACGAGTTCCATGACTAGGATCGAGGTTCGCCTTCGCTGAGCGAGAGTCCGATGAGTTGCACGATGTTGGGATGCACCAGATCCGGAAAGGATGG